TGTACAAATCAGACCTGGAGTGGTTGAAGGGTATTGGATGGTTGCCAGAGGGTTCGGTGGAAGTGATGAGAGTGAAGAATGCCCAGAATCTCCTGAATGAACGGTTGTATCGCATAAGGCCTGAGGCCCTCAAATTCACCAGCATTGTTGATACCCCAGAAGTCATTCTGGCAAAGACCAATGCTCTACAGATCAGTGAGGTAAGGCGGGCTGATGATATGTTCAGACAAATGGAAGAAGCCTCAATAAAAATTCTAATTGTGAACTTGAATCTGCTAATACCAGCATTAGAATCTTGAACGTGCATGTATCCAGATAGAATTTCATGCAGTCAGTCAATTAACAGTATCCAGATTTCATTTGCTTAGATAACTCTTTGGTCAATATAAGTGTGGTAGGCATCTTCATGTTCCACACACTCTGATACATCCTTTGAACACATTTTGAGATCTTGCCTGTAATAGAGGTCCACAAGCTAATACCACGATCACAAAATTGCCACCTCCTTATTGCTTTTTAATCATGAAATAAGTTGGAAAGTCCAGGGTAGCCCCAATATCAGACATGATGATAGTTATTTGGGCCAAGAAAACTAGGACTTGATTATCAATGTGGTTTATCATAGTTACCCGCAATGTGGGCTTACCTGGCAGATAATTACATGTGAATCAATGGAAAAAGATCATTTTACTACCATGTTTCTGACTCATTTTACATGTATGTTATATCACACATGAATATATTCTTCTTGTTGAAGTCACCTTTGGCACTGTCTAAATAAAACACTAATGAAAACTGAATGTGGTTTACATTTATATCTGAGAACAACCAGAGAGAATCTTTAATTGTACCTATAGTTTTACTTATGTAGTCATTGACTTATTTACTAATAACCATATTTGTTTCTCATTTTTACCAGCCATTGTATCGCGATGCTTGGGACAAAGAGAAGGCTAATGTGAATGTGCCAGCCGACACTCCACTGATGCTTCAGTCCAAAATCAATGCCAAACAGATCAGCAACGTAAGGAACTCCACATCCACTCACTTTACCCGATGTTCTCTGCCTAAACGAACCTTTCTATTGATATGCTCCAGAGAGAGTTTATAAAAGGCATTTCCCTACCATTCCTTCTATTTCTAGTCTTTGAGCTAATGATAAGTGCTGTGTGTGTCTGTGTGTGTGTGTGTGTGTGTGTGCCCGCGAGTGTGTTTATAATATAAAGATGTGAGTCCTTATCTTTGTTGGGAGGAAAAATGCAGTGGTTTTGCAAAAAATACAACATAAAAGCATACAAGGGTTTGTACAGTAATATTTACTTCGCTTTTTAGTGGCTCATCATTGATTGTTTCCTTTCAAGCACCAAACACTATATTTTTTCTCATTTTCACGTGATTTATGGTCTCCTAAATTTCCTTCTTTAAAAAAACTAGGTACTGGGAGACAAGTTTACTAAATGTCGTCAAAAATTGACTGGAACTTAAGTCCAGTACAAAACCAGCCTATTTTATAAATCTTAAGGGGAGATTAATTTTCAGTGTAACTGTTAACATGTATTCCTGAGCCCATCAGTAACACTGACTCCGTAGCTCCCTCTTCAGATTGACTGTGGCATTGCAATCTCCATTTGCAGAAACAATATCAGCAAGCTTGGGAAGACGTCAAGATGACAGGCTATGACCTGCGAGCAGATGCCATCGGTTTCCAGCATGCCAAGGCTTCCAGGGATATCGCCAGTGATGTAAGAGCTCCTCCTTGCCCAGTGTAACAAACGCTAACTGAGAGACACACTGGGAGTTAATACTGTATTAATCTTTAACTTAGTTCCCCAGGAATTACATTTAAGTAGAATGGAGGTCATTGTTGTTAGTGTCTTGTTTTAAAATTCCAAATTCGAGAACAACTTTTATGACAATTTGATGACCCTCTTGCATCTCTGCTTGGTTCTGTTCTTATGTTTAAGAACAGATTTTGATTTTCTTTTCAGAATCTTCTCAGTATCAGGTTAATTACAAACACTTATAGAGATTCAGTGGACACAAAGAATTCTGTTGTATCTTGAAGTGTAGCATGCATAGGCGGTTCTGTGATAATTTTATGCAATACATGGACACGCATTTTTAAAAATAGTTGTGTGTTTGTTTTAAAGTATGCTAGAAAAATACTGATTTTTTCCATTTAAATAGGACTATATATTTAAAATAAGTTTACACTTTAAAATAAATTTATTTAAACAAAGAGTCAAGTAGACTTAATGAAGTAGAGATGTTACTTGTTTGTGACAAAACATAAGAGTGAAGTTTGGGAAACACTGTACTATCCTATGTTAGCAGATAATCCAAAAGCACAGTTCTTGCCTTGGGGTGCTCACAATATTTTCTTGCATATATATACATAGAAGGCAAACCAACTTCTCCAGAAGTATAGAACTTATAGTATGGAATTAAAGAAAAATAGTGCCCCCAAAAGGGTAATCTAAGGGAGATGGAGTTATTTTGATCAGGCTGTCTAGAAAAAGTGAGTTTGGGAAAACAACTCTTCTTTCTTCTGTTCACATCTACCAGTACCTATACAAAACTACTTACGAGAAACAGAAAGGCCATTATATTGGATGTCGCACTGCCAAGGAAGACCCGAAACTGGTTTGGGCAGCAAACGTGATGAAGATGCAGAATGACAGGCTGTACAAAAAGGCCTACAATGACCACAAGGCCAAGATCTCCATCCCGGTGGACATGGTGTCCATCAGTGCTGCCAAAGAAGGTCAAGAGTTAGCAAGCAATGTGGACTATCGGCAGTACCTGCACCACTGGTCTTGCTTTCCCGACCAGAATGATGTGATCCAAGCCAGGAAAGCCTACGACCTGCAGAGTGATGTAAGTGTGTGCTAGTTGGGGAGCACCAACCAAGTCGTGAGCTAAGCCCCGGGAAGCAAGCCTTCCCCAGCTTTGCCTGGTCACTCTTTCCAGTGCTGGGGAAAGCACCACTCCCCCTACAGAAGCACTTCCCTTTAGAATTTCACCAAGTTTATTAATTGCCTACGTCACTGCTGGGCTTTTTCAGAAAGTTTTCATTTTCATTGTTAATGATGCTTCCATAACTTTTCTATAGATTTGTTAATGTGTGAGGTGTTCGTAGTTTATTAAGTACGAGAATACTCATGGTCCTTCAATTGAACAATGACAGGGCTGTCTGCCTTGAAATTAATTTCAAATGTTCGCAGAATGCTCCAAACTCACTAGTTTCCCCTCACTTGGTATTATTCACAACATGGTGTTTCACTGACTTACCTAAAGTATTTTTAGACTTACTCATATTTTCTGCCCATTCAATCTTTTGGAAATGATGGATTCCATCGCGATATTAATTTTTGCGTAGAATGAATACCTTCTTTTAATTATCTGAACTTGGTTCCATTAAACTTCAAGAGATGAGTGAGTTCACTATAGGAAAGTATATCCATCACTTGAAATGAATCGCCAACTGGTGAATTTAGGACAGTTTCTAGAGAAATGCAGTCTCTTCATTAATATGAACCACATTAGTGTAGTAAGGAACACATATCACCAAGTTCTTAAAGAATGAAGAAGGGAAACTTTAAAAATGTGTATATAATTCTCTTTGAGAATCCCTTCTTCTGAATTTTGAGTATCCTTCCTACTTTACACACATTTTCCTACGTTTTTCACTCTTACTACCTTTTTAGGCTGATATTTGTATCTTATTAAAATACCATTTCTGAAGAACACAAAGTTTTTTGTTGAAACTAATAACTGGTGTTTAACATAGAGCAACTTTGCCTGGTTAACCACTTACCTATATCTGGAAGGGAAAACAGGTTTAGATAACCAAGAAAATGCAAATCCCAATTCAAAGGGAGGTGTTATCTTGAAAAAAGAAAACCCAATTGAGATCAAAACTGTGAAATTAGGGACTGAATTCTTAATTATCCTTTTCAAAATATTTATTAAATGAACCATGTGCCAAGCGTAAGGCTAAGCACTAAAGATACCATGGTGAATAAAGAAGAAACAAGAAGTTTCTGACTTTAGGAAGTTCACTCTGATAACAAAGAAATAGATGTTAACTAGAGAATATCAGTGAAAAATGAGATGGCTGAGAAAGAGTGATCCTTGGCTCTATGAACAAGAGAGGTGGGGAAAGCTTATCTGAGGAAGTGCTGATTTAGGGGGGCTATGGAGGGAGAGTAGGAGTTGCCTCCATGAGGAGGACACAAGGGGCATTCCTGCTGAATGACCAACATAGGCCAAGGGGCTCTCTGCAGACCACAAATCGAAAGAAGACCAGTGCGGTCAGAATGCACATGTCAAAGGGAAGCACGCATGAGAGGAGGCTGGAAGAATAGGTCGAGATCGATGCCAAACCATTGACACCTTCTAGTCCATGTTAAGATTTTGATCTTTATCCCAAGGCCAAAGAGCAACCATAGGATGAGGGAATGTTGTGACATCAGAATTGAATTGTGAATTTTGTTAAGATCATTCTGGCTGCTGTGTGGAGAGCCATTATTATTGCTATAAAGTCCACATTGGCTAGTATGATGATTACCTAAATATTATCCAAATTTTTTCCCAAACAGAGAGCTCCTTCTGCATCATTTAATTTATAGAATGTTCATAAGTGCCCAACACAGACCCCCTGCCACAGAAAACAAAGCAAACAAATCATTGCTGTGCACACGAGGAATTATGTTTGTCAGCCCATGCTCAGTTTTTATTATTGTTTGTGTAAGATAAAATATAACATAAAAATCTTCTTCCTTACCTTACGACAATTTAAAAAAAGAAGCCTTGCTTCTATCTAACTTTGCTTTCTTTCCCAGGCTCTCTACAAGGCTGACTTGGAGTGGTTGCGTGGCATTGGCTGGATGCCTGAAGGGTCTCCTGAAGTACTGAGAGTCAGAAATGCCCAGCATATCCTGCGAGACAGTGTCTATCGGACACCTGTGGTGAAACTCAAGTACTCAAGTGTCGTCGACACTCCTGAAGTTGTCCTTGCTAAAGCAAATGCTGAAAACATTAGTATCGTAAGTCACTTTTCCCCCTATATTAGAATTGTCAGTGTTATAAATAAATGATTAATAATTAACCTAGTAATCTATTTGTCAGATAGTAATGATGATAGCAAGCATTTTAATAAGTAATGTTGACAGGGTTGTTTTACTGTTGCTTATTAATTTTAAACAAAAACTTGAAGTACTAATAAAAGGTATTAATATAGATTTCATATCAAATTTGAGTAATTTATGTGAAAAGATTCTAAAAGTTTTGCCTTCGTATGGAAAGATTTTGAATCAGAAAAGTTGAAAGTTGTGCATTAGAACTAGCAAATTTCAAAGTAATTTTTTTTATTGTTTTTCTTTCCATAGCCTAAGTACAGAGAACTTTGGGACAGGGATAAAACTTCGATCCACATAATGCCAGATACTCCAGAAATTAATCTCGCTAGAGTCAATGCTGTTAATGTGAGCAAGGTAAGTACCACAATAGACTACCTTTTGTTTGGAAAGTTACCCAGCTGATGCTCTGATATCACCAAGGAATTCTTCATAGCCCAGGGAGAGAAGATTGAGTGAGGGAGGGTGGGCAAGACTCCTTACCATAAGCGCCTGACCAGGAGTGAGGAGAGGAGCAGACCCTGGCTCTAAGTCACTGGGCCAGGCCAGTTATTGGCGAGCCAATGTCAACATGACAGAAGGGAGAAGGGAATAAGGACAAGAAAGAGGAAAGAGGAATGAAGAGACACACAAGCAAGGAAGAGAATTAATGACAGATTCAGATGTACACAAAATAATTATGAGATTTCTTTGCAAAACTTTAGACAAATTAATTTTAAAACCTGGATCTGTAGGGGACTTTCTAAGAAATTATAAATTACCAAAATTGACCCCACGAAAAAAAAGAAATTAAGGGGATTATTAAAGACTTTCCTTCCCCTCTCAAATGTCAGTGTCATCCAGATGATTTCGTAGGACTTCAAGAAATAAACAAACTACTCTAGAGCCCAGTGAAAGAAGGAAAGCCATCACAATTACCAAAACTTGTCAAAGATAGTTCCAAAAATGAAAACTGGAGACCAATAATAATGGGGAAAATCTTAAATAAAACATATACAAATGAAATTCAGTAGTACATGAATATGATATGATACAAACAACTAGGGTTCATCCAGGAATGCCAGGAGGGTTCCATATTCAGAAACCTAACAGTGTAATAGGACAAAAGAGAAGAATCATATGCCTATTTTATTAGGTTTGAAAAGGTGTGTGACAAAATCCAATATCCATCCTTCTTTTTGAAAAATAAAATCGTATCAAAATAAGAATAAAGAATATTTTCCTGACATGACTAAAAGAATAAATCTCAAATCAAAGGGCAGGATCATCATCAGTATGTAAGCTTTTCATTCAAGTCAGGATTAAAAGGATGCCCACCAGCATCACCATTATTTAACATTTGCTGGAAGTACTAGTAAGTGAGTAAGCTTCTCATTCAAGCCAAAATAATTACTGAGTAACAATGAGATAAATACTGCAACGAAAAAAGCAAAATTATCACTATTTGCAGAATAAATCATTCTACGTTTGGGAGAAGCAAGAGAATCAACTTAAAATTCTATTAGGTAAAACGAGAATTCAGTTACGTGCTTAGCTACACAATTCACCAAAATTCAAGAAAGGTACCACCTTCATGAATCACAGAGGTTCCCTGTGTATGGAATAAGTATGAGTTTAGAAGAAGGATACTACCTTAGTGCAATTCACCATGGTTTGGAATTTTGCATCTTTCAAAAAATAACAAATCTTTGTGAGAGAAGGAGCCTGCCAAGCAAAGATTCCTCGGCATGTGCCAAACTGCACCATCAACTCTATTGTAATGAGCCACTTGGGAGCTAATTTTTCCAAGAGTTGTGAAGAAAACAAAATTTTGGGATGCAGATACATTTTTTTCAGCCCAGAATCAGTATTATGGCACAGTACACTCTTGTCACAAAGTGACTGGATGGAGAAGCAGTCAGCTCTTCACTGCAGCACAGACTCCTCTGCCTCTTCCTTTTTTCTTTGGAAGGAAGATCAGCCCTGAGCTAACATCCAATGCCAATCCTTCTCTTTTTTGCTGAGGAAGACTGGCCCTGAGCTAACATCCATGCCCATCTTCCTCTACTTTATATGGGACACAACCACAGCATGGCTTGATAAGAGGTGCATAGGTCCAAGCCCAGGATCCGAACCTGCGAACCCCGGGCCACTAAAGTGGAGTGTGCGAACTTAATCACTATGCCACCAGGCCAGCCCCTCTGCCTCTTCCTTTTGATCCATAGGCATCTTTGCCAGGGGAAGTCTGGAAAGTCTCGTGTGTTCTCTTGCGTGATAAATTTCTCAGCCAGAATCCTCCCATTGATGACATGATGTAAGCACGACTAGTATTTGAAACTATGCCCAAAGTAAACTTATCTTTAGATATTAAATATTAATGAGAATGGCTTGCTTTTCGGAAGAAATTAAACGTCCCATTTGAATGCTAACCAAAATGTACATTTTCTTTACACATGGTGTGGCCATTACTAAAATCTCGATAAAATTCACTATTTAAAACTGTTTCCATCACTCAAAAAGCACAACTGTTTCAGAATATTTGTTTATGATTTCATAGGTAACCAAAAAAATTCATGTTAAATGGATTCATTTATCTTCACACTAAGCACATGAGTAAGGTATTTTATTATGTTTTTATCAGATGGGAAAGTTAAGACTTGAGGGATTAAGAAATTTGCCCATGTTCTCAAAGTTGTAGGTGAAGAAGTTGGGTCTCAAGCCCAGCTTCTTTTTAGTTCAAATAAAAAATATATTTGACCACATAAACAAACAAAAGTATATTATATAAGAAAAAAAGTTTAAAATAACATAATGACAAGTTTTCTTTAAATATTCTCTAGTTTAATACCTTTAAATGTGGAGAATACTTTTTTTGTACAAAAAAGTCAAATGTTAAAATAGGTCCACTCAAAATTCATATAAAAAATTGAATGAAAATTCATACAAAACTTGTCCATACTTACAAGGACACAATTTATCTGAGCACTCATTTTTCAGATATGCAAAGGCCATGAAACTGTCAGTAACTGAAATTCACCTCTCCTTTCTGCACCGTTCAAGCTCCCATACTGATGGGTGTGATTTCTGAATTATACATCTAAATTACTGTTATTTCTGAGTCCTTCTGACATTGTCAACACAGAATGTATCCATTTAAATATTAACATATATTTTAAAAGTTACCTGTAAATCAATCACTACCTTAATAAACTTCTCTTGACAAACAAAAAAGTGTTACACTTAGAAAATGGATATTAGATCCACTTGTGCTTCAACAGGAAGATCTAATATTCCCAAATAATATGCATCATCAGTCATGTAAGAAGATCTAAGAAATATATTGGAGAAAAAATCTCACAAATGTAAAAAATTTATAATTCTGAAGATTACAAAATTGTATTGAATTAAAAAATTAAATAAATGGAAGTATTGAATTAGAGAAATTCAATAATGGCCCATTAATGTCTGGACTTAAACTTTATTCCAATGCTACTAATACACCAACACAAGAAGCAGCTAAACCCTTTTCATGAACAACTACATCGAGGCTATGATTCAAATTAAAAAGAAAGAAATCTTATCAACCCCAGATCTTTGGACTCCAGACATGATTTCATGTGCCAATACAATGGTGTAGAATGATTTTTTCATCTATTCTCTTTTCTTTAACTGGTTCTGGGACTTCAAAACTGTACTCCCATGATGTTAATTCTACTTGAGCCCTTGGAGGTATTGGTAAATTTGAATCTGGAATGATACCTTATTTTTTCTCCTCCTCAGAACATTTACCGGAAAGGTTGGGATGAAGTGAAGATGAGCTGTGATGTGCGGCTGGATGCCATCCCTATCCAGGCTGCCAAAGCCTCCAGGGAGATCGCCAGTGACGTAAGTGTAGCCTTGTTTCACTTCTCAGTTTTTTAAGCAAATGCCCTGGGTGCGTCAAGAGTACATACTGTGATCCATCTGCTTTGTTTCTCCATCTCCAGTATAAATACAAGCTTGACCATGAGAAACAGAAGGGACACTATGTGGGTACCCCCACAGCCAAGGATGACAACAGGATCCGGTGGGCTCTGATAGCTGGCAAGATTCAGAATGAGAGAGAGTACCGGCTGCCGTGGGCCAAATGGAAGACTAAGTTCAAAAGCCCCGTGGATATGCTTTCCATCACGCATTCTAAAAAATGCCAGACTCTTGTCAGTGACATTGATTATCGCAATTACCTACATGAATGGATGTGCTTGCCTGACCAGAATGATGTGATTCAGGCCAAGAAAGCCTATAAACTGCAGAGCGATGTGAGTGGGCTGCGTTTTAGCATGAACTATTCTATCATTTGCCATGATTCCCAGAAAGTTTATGACATTACATCCTTGTACTGTCACTTCATGTCTTTATACAGCCAAGAATTTGGTTTTAGTTAGATCTATATTATGGTATCAAAATCATCAAAGCCATGAAGGATCTAGACTTGATATCAAGAAATAAATGGTAGTATGAATATAGTTCTTAATTGTATCAGGTTAAAGACAACGACTGTGAAAATATTATTTCTATAGAATTTAAGTAGCAGTTGAAGTTTATACCATAAGTAAAATGTTGGCAGTCTATGGACAGGATGTAGGCACAGATACTGTGTTTTAATTGCCACAGTGTTAAAAATTTTTCCATCAAGTTGCCAAGGTTTTTAAATCAGGATATTTAGTCTACAAATCTAAGATTTTCCATTTCTCTTGAAAAATCAGAGGATGGCGCTCTGGATGTGCATTACCCCTGGCAACAATAACCTAGAGATGAAATGAGGCTAACCCCCTTTAAAGAGAAAACACTCAGTTTATCATGCAACCTGGCCTCCTAATTAATTTACTTATGTTACCTGCCTGGCTGCTTGAGTATGTCATTCTCAAATTGTATTTCTCCATGAGACCAACGGATTGAATAAGTCAGACCATGCGGTAGGGTTGCTGAATTCATCACCCCCTTGTTTTCACAGGCTGTTTACAAGGCCGACTTGGAATGGTTACGTGGAATTGGGTGGATGCCAAGTGATTCTGTTTCTGTCAATCATGCCAAACATGCTGCAGATATATTCAATGAGGTATTCCAAGATTTTATCCTGCCATTCAGTACATTTCCTAAAAGACTGAACAAAAATACGTGATCCAAAATGCGGTCATTCCCTATCAGCAATTTTAATAATTTCAATTGCTGTCATTTAAGCTAGATATACATTTTTCCTAAATAATCTCTATCTCATTATAGGACCACATCCATAATGTTATATCCAGTTAACTCATTGATGCTTTGAATTGTGTAAATGGAAAACTTCTTTTGTTAGCAATAGCAATATACTTGGGAGAAATTCGTCCAGTTGAAAAAAATGTATTGAGTATTATGATACATATAATAATGCATTACATGACTTTGGAAGCTAAGCAAACCTGCTACTTTAAAATCTGTGGGAGGTATAAGAAGCCAAGCCAGCCCCGGTGGTCTAGTGGTTAAGATTCGATCTTCTCACTTCCATCGCCGCCGTTTGTTTGCAGGTCGGGGAACCACACCATCTGTCTGTCGGTTATCATACCGTGGCAGCTGTGTGTTCCTGTGATGCTGAAAGCTACGCCACCAGTATTTCAAATACCAGCAGGGTCACCCATGGTGGACAGGTTTCAGCAGAGGTTCTAGACTATGACAGACTAGGAAGAAGAACTTGGCCACCTACCGTCAAAAAATTGGCCATGAAAACCTTATGAATAGCAGTGGAGCATCGTCTGATATAGCGCCAGTAGGTGAGAGGATGGTTCAAAAAGACCAGGCAGGGTCACTGGGAGTCAGAATCAACTGGACAGCACTAACACTAACAAATAAGAAGCCAACCCATTTGTTAAAAAATAAAATGCTGAGAATAAAGCCAAATTACCAAGAAGATGCCATTGAAATATAGTGCTCTACGCTTCTAGTAGAAAGGATTCTCAAATCTTTGTCTCTTTCTCAGCTCACACGGGACCAGGACCAGGGACTACGACTATCTAAAAGATATTTTCTTTCCCACAGAAAAAATATCGCACAAAAATAGAAACTCTCAACTTTACGCCTGTGGATGACCGAGTCGATTATGTGACAGCGAAACAAAGTGGTGAGATCCTAAATGATGTAAGTACATGGCTGTTGTTCTAAAATTGCCCAATTGTGAAGATGTCATTTCCAAAGCCTTCCCACCTACTTCCACTCAGCATGCCATCATTGTCTGAGAAACAGATTGTAATCATTTAGATGATTGATGCTGGCATTTGCTTGAACAATATTATGTTTTCTTAACATCAAGTCACTTACCCCCTTGCCTCTTGTTTCTAGATTAAATACCGGAAGGATTGGAATGACACCAAATCAAAGTACACCCTCACAGAAACCCCCCTGCTGCACACTGCCCAGGAAGCAGCCCGGATACTGGACCAGGTATGGATTTTACCCGGGTGCCTGGTACTTTGTGTGGGGACGCAGGACCATAATATAAGTGTAGGAGATGCATGCACCTGAGTTATGCCTCATTCTGACTCCTCAGTTTAACGCTTTGTTGTGGCTCTCTGTCTTTTAGTATCTCTACAAGGAAGGCTGGGAGAAGCAAAAAGCCACAGGTTACATTTTGCCTCCGGATGCTGTGCCATTTGTTCATGCCCAACACTCTGGTGATGTTCAGAGCGAGGTAATTTATCCTGATATGAGTGCACTTTGCAAAGGCTAGACCTTACCCGTGCAGGAACCCAGTCATGCTAAGGCATGGCACCTTGGAGTGTTCCCTGTCAGCTCGGCACTCCGGCTGGGCTTGGGCGTGGTTGGAGTACCTGCTCCCTCTGGTGCTTTTCCCATGGGCTTTGGGCGTTCTTCTTCTTCTTCTTGGCTTCTTTGAAAGCTATTGTTTGTGTTCTTTGCATTTTCTTCTCTTCCCTGGCTTCCCTAAAATCTGTAGGCCTTCAGATAAAATATTGCCAGAATTAGAAAACAAGTACATATTTTTCTACTTTTAAATGGATAGCTCTTCATATTTATTTATTTATTTATTTATTTCAATGCATTTTGTTATTTATTCTCTGGGAGGGGGTGACACAAAGAGCTGGGAGCCTGGATTTACTGACGTTTCAAGCCCGCTTTGCCTTGTGTGCTTGTCAAAGCTGACGGAATCTCTGTTCTTCTTCCCACCAGCTGAAATACAAAGCTGAACATGTAAAGCAAAGAGGTCATTATGTTGGTGTTCCGACAATGAGAGATGATCCTAAGCTGGTTTGGTTTGAGCACGCAGGCCAGATTCAGAATGACAGACTATACAAAGAGCACTATCATAAAACGAAGGCCAAAGTCAATATACCTGCTGATATGGTGTCTGTGCTGGCCGCCAAGGAGGGGCAGGCCCTTGCCAGTGATATTGATTACCGTCATTACCTGCATCAATGGATATGTCATCCTGACCAAAATGACGTTATTCAGGCAAGGAAGGCCTATGACCTACAGAGTGATGTAAGTGATTTTTTTTTCTTAATTATCCAGAAAAGTATGGTATACTTTGAGAATTATAAGCAGCATTCGGGAGCCACCAGTCTTTGAAACTTGGAGCCATAAACATTTGTTTGGTTCCCAGAAGAGAATTGAGGTTGGATATGAAGTAGAGAAAGATCAAGAGCAGTGATTGATTGACAGCTTTGCCTACTGGTTGTGTATTTCTGAATAACTTTCAAAGTCAATTTTTTTAAAATCTGCTGCTTTTGTACCATCCCTGCCATCAGCAACTCCTCACTCATGTTTGCCTGGAAAATTATCAACTGATTTAAAATAATAATTGGTTTGGGTGGGAATCGAGATTGAGATGGGATTTTGACAATATTAGATAGTAGTGTAGTCAAGGACCTGGGAATGCCCCTTTCTTGCTTTGCCAAGCATCTCGTTCCTCAAGGCCTTAATAAAGGAGTTGCTTGCAAGGAATCAAAGCAAAAGGGACACAAAGTGCTGATGAGCCAAATGAAGGCCCAGAATCCCTCATGCAGAGCTTTGGGAAAGCTAGGAGGGAGAATATGACTTAGGCCACCTCGCACTGAAACCGGAATCAAGATCTCTACCTGGCACCAGCAGTCTGTAGGGAACAGAAACACGATGCATTTACATGATGCTCAGGTCACTGAAGAGCTAACCCCACCTGAGTCTTCTCATCATTTCCAAAACAGAAACAGGAAGTCAAAAACTGCCTGCAGCACAGGTGCTGAACTTGAACATCCCACCTCACAGGTTGCTGCAGCAGACTGACCATTGTGGAACTTTAATTAGATTAGCGACTCCTCTTCATTTGGGGTGGGGTGGCCTGAGAGAGTCCAGGAGGTAGGTGGGGGAGGGTAGAGATAGGTGTGGCTGGAGGGATAACTCCGCCTACCCTACAATTCAAGAGCATTCACTTGTGTAATTTCCTTTATTTAGTCTAAATGCCCCACAAATTTCTTTATGGCTAAATATACCAAGTCCATCTGAAACAACAACCTCCTTGGTAAAACCTTCTCTTACACTCACTGCTGTAGACAATGGCTCCCTGCCCTTGCCTCCCACAGCACCTGAGTGGTCTTGCTCTCATAGCACTTACCGCTTTCCACTTTGCAAATGACTTCTCTCGCATAGATTCCTTCTTTATACTTATCCATCAAAGCACCTAGCACAGTGCCTCATGCATAGTAACCGGCTCAAGAAATATTGCTCAGATGAAATCATGATTGAATCAATGAGACAACAGCTACTAGAAAGAAATCCTTAAAAGCTTCTGAAAAAAATTGTTTCTAGTCTGCCGTCTGTAATTCTCTGTCTGAGTCATTTATGCCAGCATCAAGTCTCTCTTCTTGCTCTCAGAATATCTACAAAGCTGACCTGGAGTGGCTCCGAGGCATTGGCTGGATCCCCCTGGATTCTGTGGAGCACGTGAGGGTTACCAGGAACCAGGATATGGTGAATCAGGTATGCAAAGCCTGTTCTTACCTAATGCCTGGCTGGCCTCCTTACCTGCCACGTAGGTATACGTACCCTGTATGGGGAGACCTGTCTTAATCGCCTCTATTTCTTTGCAGATAAAATATAAGAAAGATGCTCTTGACAACTATCCTAACTTTACAAGTGTGGTGGATCCTCCACCGATTGTTTTGGCCAAGATTAACTCAGTCAATCAAAGTGATGTAAGTTTGCTTTGTGTATAATGAGAAACATAGACTGGGGAGTTAGTTGTCTATCACTGAACAGATTTGCTTAACTCCAGATAATTGCTTGTAAGAAAATGAGGAGGGTAAATTATAAGATAATCTTTGGGAGAGAATGTCTTAAAAGTCACTAGTAGGTGGTATACTGTACCTACTTTTACACAATATCTATATTGTTGTCCAAATTATTTTATTAGCTAAAATGAACTAAAATTCAACCAACTGGTTAGTTTTAATCTCTAAATTTAGACTGATTAATATCTTGCTAGGTAGATCCAATGAAACTTTAAATAGACAGAGTAACCAAAGGTTTTGTTTTGTTTTCTCTCCTTAGGTAAAATATAAAGAAACATTTAATAAATTAATAAAGGGCAAGTATATATTTTCTCCAGATACACCATATATCACCCACTCCAAAGACATGGGAAAACTCTATAGTACCGTAAGTTCTATTTTATGTGATATACAATTCAGTCCCTAATTTTAAGCTCGTCAGTATTCATATTCTTGAATGATTTTGTGAACAACTGAACTTATGAGGAGATTTAGTATTTTTGTTCTATTTAGTCTTGTTTATTAGAAGTATCACATTATTCAGGGCAAGTAGCATCTATTCAGCTGGTGTTTTTTGAGCTCCTGTGATGTGCCAGGCACTGTAGCAGGCACTGAGGAGCTAAAGCTCATTGAGACAAGACCTTCAGGAGCCCATACAAGTGAGAGGGCCAGGCATACAAATAACTAGATAGATGATAATGTAACAGGTGCTGTACAAGCTCTGGGTGCACACAGGCCTGACAACAACCAACAGAGAAAAATGAGGAGAGGCTGGTTCCTCTTTAGCAATCGTGTACAAATATCTCCAGCTAGCCAATGGAGGACTTGCCCTCCAAATATAATTCAGCTAATTTAAACAGTGGTGTATGTGTAGTGGGTATGTGTGTATGCCCAAGTAATCTTTGATGATTCTCTCCCTATGTGCAAATTTCACTTTTATTAGAACTGTAAGTTTAGTTAAACTCTGTTATAAAATGCCTGAGAGTGTGTGGATTTAATTTGCAACAAGCCAAATGACTCTGCCTTGTTCTTAGGTAGGCACACGGATGGCTGTAAATAAAGATTGAAGCCTTGCCTTTAAACATAAATATTTTACCACTTTCTTTTTAGTGGTATCTGAAAGAAGTTGAAGGCAAACTTTTATTGACAAACATTTCTTTGTTATAGATACTGTATAAAGGGGCATGGGAGGGAACCAAGGCCTATGGCTATACCTTGGATGAACGCTATATTCCCATTGTTGGAGCCAAGCATGCCGACTTTGTGAACAGTGAGGTCAGTAGGACTTTTCTCTCTCGTACATTTGAGAGTCTTTATAGGGGAACAAGGGGCTGGTTAGAAAATCCCAGTGATTCTCAATGTTGTACCTACTTCACAGCTTAAATACAAAGAGACATATGAGAAGCTGAAGGGTCACTACCTGGCTGGAAAAGAAATCAGTGAGTTCCCTGCTGTGGTTCACTGTCTGGATTTCCAAAAGATAAGGAGCTTGGTAAGCAAAGTTCACTTTAACAGAGGATTTCTACACTTCAGTGTACTATTAGTCTGCCCATTTATAATCTGCGCTTTGGTTCAATGTTAGCTGGGGATGGGGCAATGAGGAATGAGTCAGTCTTGAGACTTCCCCCCACCCCTGCCAGTTAGCCTTGTGTATCTTTGATGGCTATGGGTTTCTGCCCTTTCCCTCTCTCCTCCATTACGAAACAAGCAATGAGGGCTCTGTATCTGGAAAAAGGAGAAAACAAGGTCACTATTTACCCTGTGTTATAAAAGGACAAGAAGTTGAAAAAGAAGACTATATTAAAGTATTTTTTTAACCTTAGCCTATTCTAAAGGTACTGATCTATATTGTATTGGAAATGAGACTCTAAAAGAGATTGATCTGAACAATTTACATTTTAATTCCTTTCTTATTTTTGCCTTTAAAAAATATTATTCTTTAGTTGAACTACAGAAGACATTATGAGGACACCAAAGCAAATGTTCATATCCCCATTGATATGATGAATCATGTGCTGGCTAAAAGGTGTCAGTACATCCTCAGTGACCTGGAGTACCGACACTACTTCCACCAGTGGACATCTCTCCCAGGAGAACCCAACGTTATACGGGCCCGAAACGCGCAGGAGATCTTGAGTGATGTATGATGTCCTTTCCGCAGCTTGGCTTAGTTACAGGCTTTACCCATCTCTGCCTTGGCCCTTCATACTCCAATTGTCCCTGTATTCATAAACCCTGCTGTTTTTCAACACAAAGTGGCATGTGTAACCACTTTTTGGTGTAAGAATCCCCTCTAGGCCATGGGATACCTATGTTAAATATTTAAACTGTTTAACACTAGACTGAAACTTAGCTATTGCTCTCCTCCTAAGCTTCTTTAGGCCAGTGCATGAAAGACCTTCCACCTGTTGAGTGGCCCACCCTGTGACCACTAAGCACTGACCATAGCCAAGGGCTGATTGGAAATTATCATAATGCTCAGTTGTAAATTCAGTGAGTACCTGCCACCTTTCATTGTTCCTTCTTTCCTGCAGAATGTGTATAAAGGTGACTTGAATTGGCTGAGAGGCATTGGGTGCTACGTTTGGGATACACCCCAGATCCTCCATGCCAAGAAAGCGTATGACCTCCAGAGTCAGGTGAGCCAATCTTCCTAGAAAGACTAGCTTGCTATTGGTCAATGAAATCCATGGTGCTCTCAGTGTGGGGATAGCCAGGCTGTCTCTGTGCCCAGGCAGAGAAAGCGGTTTTAACAGTGTATGATATAACAGAACCAAAGGCCCCTTGCCCAGTGACACCTCTCCTGGTGGCCTGCTCTGGTGCTAGACCTTCCCAGTTTGAGTTTCTCTTGTGGTTTAAGGTATTAAACGTTTATAACAGAAAGTTATCTGGGAGTTGTTTAATAGTGAACTACTTTAAAGCATCTAGTTGATCAGGTTAACTTGCAGAGAGTAGAATGCAAATGCATACTTTGATAATAGGTAGATAAGTTTTGAAGTTAAAAATAAATTTTTGGACAATTTCCCAGCATATGGTTCACCTCTGATAGGGCAGACTATTGAAATTGAGGGACTGCTGTCAGGGATGGAGTATAGGATGGAAAAGACAGCAAATGAACAAGGAGACCTGGCAAAGATCCAGACCCCACTCTTGGTCAAGAGAAACTATGAGTTTTGACAGCCATACAAAGTCTGCAAGACTAGATAATGATAGCCTCTTTGGTAGAATTAAAGCAGAAACCCAGAAATAAATAAAGGTACAACTAAGTTGGCACAAGCTGCTAAAGTCAATGGTAGACCTGTATTTTACCGTTTTTGGTGACTTTTGTTTTTCTTCACAGATACAATATACAGCAGCAGGTAAAGAAAATCTACAAAATTATAATCTGGTCACAGACACACCACTTTACGTGACTGCTCTTCAAAGTGGCATTAATGCCAGTGAGGTGCGTCTTCCTTGTACTTCCAGAACAAGTCAGTATTGTCTTTATATAATTTCAAACAACAAAAAAGAATAACCCATTGCTTTTTGTCTGTAGGTGAAATATAAAGAAAATTATCATCAGATTAAGGACAAATATACAACAGTTGTAGAAACAGTGGATCATGACAGAATCAGGAATCTGAAGGATCTTTATAGCAGTGTGAGTTGAGTTTTTTTCCTCCTGTATCTTGGTTACCTTTTTCCCCTTTAGAGTCAATAAGAGAATAAAAGAGATGGGCACTCTGCACCCAAAGGTTTTTCCAGCTTTTTTCCTGGACCTTCAAATTCCTACTTTATCTCATAAATCCTCCTGGTTACAATGAAATAAGCCCCCATTTGAATATTGCTCTATCTCACACAGTTGACACAAATTCCTTCCTTATTGCAGGCAGGTACCATTGAAGCCCTTCTTTGTTGACTCTGAACTTGTCTTTCCCTGGCTTCTCCAGTGGCCAGTGGCTTACAGACCAACAAAGGCACTCCTTCTTTTTCCTCCTCTGAATTAGTTAATTCCACAAACATTTTTTAAAAATTTCATTTTGAAATAATTTTAGAATTACAGAAAAGGTGCAAAAATAGTACAGAGAACTTCCTGCATACTTTTCTCCTTATTATAATGATCAAAACTAAGAAATTAACATTGTTACAATATTAATTATAGACTTTATCCAGATTTCACCAGTTTTTTCACTAACATACTTTTCTGTTCCAGATGCCAGTCCAGGATCCCTCATTGCATTTAGCTGTCATGACTCCTTAGTCTCCTCCAGTGTGATCATTTCTCAATCTTTCCTTGTTGTCTTTTTCTGATCTTGACTCTTTTGAAGAATATTGGCCAGTTATTTTGTAGACTGTCCCTCAGTTTTGGATTATCTGATATTTTCTTGTGATTAGATTGAGGGTATGCATTTTTGGCAAGAATAACACAGAAGTGATGTGCCCTTCTCAGTGCATCATAGCGGGAGGTACATGATGTCAATAACTGGTGGTATTGACCTTGATCACTTGGTTAAGTTTCTATCTGCTGAGATTCCCACTGTAAAGTTAGTATCTTTCCCTTGGTTAATTTTTTTTTTTTATGTTTTACAACTTGCCTTACTGACAATGTATTTTTTAAAATTTTTTGTTTATTGCAGTAACATTGGTTTATAACATTGTATAAATTTCAGGTGTACATCATTATACTTCTATTTCCACATAGATTACATCATGTACACCACCCAAATACTAATTACAACCCATCACCACACACATGTGCTGAATTATCCCTTTCGCCTTCCTCCCTCCCCTCTTCCCCTCTGGTAACCACCAATCCAATTTCTGTCTCTATGTGTTTGTTTTTTGTTGTTATTATCTACTACTTAATGAAGGAAATCATACGGTATTTGACCTTCTCCCTCTGACTTATTTCACT